CTGTTGCAACGACTGCAGCAAGGGGAGAAGCCAAGACAGAAGCAGCAGCAGCACCTGATGCACAGAAGATCTAACCTACCGGAGGTGTAGAGGAAGACAAGGATTTAGGGGCAACCCCAAAAGCAGCAAGTCTGCTTGCTGCTGTTGTTGCTGCTGCAGCAACAACGGCAACAGCGACGCAAAGCTTCTTTCATGGGGCAATAACATAAGCGAAACAATTGAATAAAGCCCTGAGTAGTCTGCTGGCCATAGGAGGGGCTCCTGTGCTGCTGCGGCCTCGTGCTGCAGCAGCGAGTGTTGTTGCTGCTGCAACTGCTGTTGTGCAGAAGTAGCAGCAGCCAACAGATGCCTAGAGTGTAAACTTCGCTCTGCAATAGCAACTCCTGTCTTTTGCGACCCCAAATCAAAAGACAGAATTGATTTGCACTGCAACAGCAATGAACGAATCTCTGAACTGTCTAGGCCGCGTACTTGCTGCTGCTGTTTGCGCCAACCCTGTTGTTGCTGCCGCTCCTGCCGCTGCTGCTTTGGTGCAGTAACATTCTGCTGATAAACCAGTTGCTGCGCATGCTGCAGCTGCTGCTGCTGCTGCTGCTGTTCTTCATTCTGCTGCGAGCCGTCATTAGGCCTGAACCATTCCACTAGAGTGACCCTATCTTCGCCGCAGCTGCTGCGCTGCTGCGCAGCACCTGTTGTGCTTACTTGTGCTGTTTTGGCTGATGCTGTTGCTGCAATAGATCTGTCAAGCTTGAACTGTGGCAGGCTGAAGCAGCAGCAGCAATACAACCAGTTGGAGAGAGTCAAGATCTGCAGCAGCCCGAGACTGCACCAAACGGGCATTTCCCTGCAGTCATTGTTCGGGAGTGCAGGGGCATGCCTTTTGCTGCTGCCTCAATGTTCGCTGCTGCTGGTGCTGCTGCTGGTGCGAATGTGCTGCAACTTGAGCTGCTGGCTCTGCAAGTGCAGCAGCAGGTGCGACTACAGCTCATAGTGTGAATGGCCCTGGGCTGCCATGGTGTTTCCAAAAAGCTTCGAATCTTCAGTAGAACTGAGACAACAAGCTAACCACACTTGTTCTTTCTGCAGCAACGGAAGCGGCATCACGACCGTTCGCCATGCTGTCTTCATGCGTAGAGGCGGAGTTGCCCAATGTTATAATGAATAATTGATTTGAAATTGTTCTGCTATTTATGTTGGCTAAGAGCAGTTGAAAACGGGCGCAGTGGCCTTCTGGGGCCCCCTGTCTCGATCGCTGGCATGAGTCGCAGGGGCCCCTGATGTGTTGACATCCTGTTTAAAGCGCAGCTGTTCCCTTTTGTGAAATTTGCATGTACAGGCAGTGAAATACTTGGCAAAATAGTTATTGACAAAAACGGTACGGAGCTTTTCTAAGTAGCCACTCTCCGTCAGCTCTGAGGAGGGCCTCCACGGAAGGCAAACGCCCCTTCTTTAAGAGGCCGAAATAGACAGAAGCTGCCTTTCACACCTTCATTATAGGGTTTTCTGCTGGTCTCAGTGCGGCGCCGACTGCAGAAGAAGAGCCGGTTTTAGCAGCAGCAGCAGCAGCAGCAGCAGCAGCAAAGGTGACGATGCAGCAGCACGAGGAGCAGACTCCACAGCGTAACCAGCAGCACCGCGAGCTTTTCCCCTCAGAAACGTGAACAGACTGGAGAGAAAAAAAGGGGCCGTCCCACCCCAGCCCAACTTGGGTCTTCCACCCATTGAATTTTTTGGGGTCTTAGTGGCAGCTGGCCCCTAACGCAGTGTCTGTACACTTGTCGAGGTCTTGTTGTTAGTGCTCCCAATGTCAAGTCCAACTTCTTTCGCTTCTTCAGGGGGCCCCTCCAGCGGGCTTATGAGGGCCCCATCTCCCGAGTCTGTTCCCCCACGAGAGGCCGCGGCACCCCCAGGGGCCCCCAGAAATGGTCTTTTGTGTAGCCCACGTGAAGAGGATACATTAAGAAGCCTCCCGAGCGCTCCCTTGCCCCGTCTCGTGGTGAGTCCTCTGTGGAGAGGCGAGCTATTGAGGCCATTTGGCCGTCTGCGGCAGCCCAAGGAATTTCTCTTTCTCAAGAACGTAGCACGAAGAAGGAAGACAGCCGCTGACATGCACCAGGGGGCCCTCTCTGGCCCTGTTGGGGCCCCCCATGGGGCCCCCTTGGGCAGTTCTAGTGGGGGAGCAACAGAGACAGACTCAAGCGGGGACTCAGGGAATACCGAGGGCTCATCCGGCGGCCATCTGCCTGTTGCGAGGCAACGTGGGGCCTTTACAGCTGCTGCTGCTGCTGCTGCTGGCGCAGCAGCAGTAGCAGCAGCTGGGCACACAACTTTAGCTGAAGCGGCAGCTGCTGTGGGCCGCAGGCTGCTGCCTCGGGGAGTTGAAAGGGCTCCCCAAGAAGCCTCTCCAACAATGCCCGCCCAGAGAGTCAATCAGCTGGATGCACTCAGAGTTGATAACGAAATTGTTTTGCTGCTGCAGGACCTTCTGCTGCAGTGTACGCGGGCTGCCATGCCGCGACTGCAGCAGTGGCAGCAGGAGCTCAAGCTGCTTCTTAACATTTTCCTTTGGAGTGTGTCTACGGCGAGAGACAGGCCAACTCCGGGGGATTTGCTGCAAAATGTCAAGTACTACGGGGGTGAACAGCTGCAGCAGCAGGAACTGCAACGGCAGCAGCAGCGGCTGCAGGAGATGCAGCAAGACCCTACAGTTGCTCCCGCTGCGGTGCAGCAACAGCAGCGCGTCCTGCTACATATGATGATGAAGCAGCAGCATTCGTTGCTGCAACAGCAGCCCCTGCCGTGGGGACACAAGTTGGGGTTGCTGCTGCTGCACGTGCTGCTGCCATATCTGTATCAGCTAGTGCGGCAGCTGCTGCACCGCAAGAGGCAGCAGCAGCAAGCAGCAATAGAACAAAGGATCCGGCGTTTCAACGTTGCTCAGGCACTCCGTCGGCAGCGCATGCAACAGCAGCAGCTGCAGCAAAAGAAGCAGCAGCAGAAGCAGCAAGCCACAGAGCAGCAGCAATGGGAAATGCAACAGCAGCTGCAGCTGTCCAGGTTGCTGGATGCTGCTGCTGGTGCGGCGGTGACTCGCCTGACGCCAGCGGAGCAGTCTTTGGAGTGTCTGTACAGGTGCTGCATGCTAGTAGACTTGCTGCTGTCCTTTTTGCGTTTTTGCTTCTTTTTTTATTTTCTTTACAAAGGCAGACACCGCAGCTTGGGGGACTGGCTGCTAGGGGTGGAGATGCGGCACATACATCCTTCGCTGCGGCGTTCCCTCTCTTTCGAGCTGCTGCAGCAGCAGCTCTACTGGCTCAGTGTCTCTCACGTGCTGCTGCTCGTGGTGCCCCACATTGACCTCTTGCTGCTACGGCGCATGCTTGGGCAGCACGTGTTGTCTCCTGCCCGCGCGGCCGCAGTGACTTCTCTGCAGCAGCTTAGGCAGCTTCTTCGCAAGCAGCAGCAGCAGTTGCTGGAACAGCAGCAAAGCCCTGAAATGCCTAACGCACAAGCTGCTGCTGAAGCTGCTGATCTACCGCCTTTGGGCATCGGCCAGTGGTGCTTGCTCCTGCTGCGAAGCACAAAACAGCAGTTGACCGCGGCTTTGCAGGACGTGGGGCTGCTGCCACATCCCCTTGTAACGGAAGAGCAACAGCGACAAGAGCAGCAGGTGCAACAGCAAGAAAAGCAACAGAAAGAGGCAGTGGAACAAACAGTAAGTTGTCAGGATCCTGTTCTCGTGAACAGCGGATAGTTGCTTCATGCGCGGAGAGGCTGTGTGTGGCTTGGTTGTGCATGTTTTTGCAAGCTACTGTGCCTGCCCTTGTAAAAAAAATGAAAGAGGAAGAAATAACGCAGGAACAACGAGAGCAAGTCAACTGTTGCTCCCTCCATGCACTGTTGGCTTCTCTGCTTGCCTGTCTTGCTTGATTCATACTTTGCCGCCCCCGAGTTTCGGTGCGCAGTCCATTGGTTTGTCCGTGAAGTGGGACTGTCTATCCTTTGCGCATTGCCACCCTGTAACTAGCTGAGTCTGTGTGTTTCTTTACGAGTTGCCATTTTCTCTCAACAGTAGTATACAGCAAATGTTAAGTTGCCCACACACGTGCTCCTTTTGCTTTCCTGCACTTGCTTTTTCCGCAGCTTATGTCCCCTGAGCCAAGTAATGAGGTTTTGAAGCCAGCATTGTCTCCAGTGTCCTCTTTGGGTCCAATAGCGGAAGCAACAACAGCAGCAGAATTGCCGCCGTCGGCAGCACCCTCCCCGGTATTGCCGTCAACCCCAGTGTCTGTGATCCCAGAGAAGCCGCCACAGCGGCAGCAAAAGCAGCAGTGTGTGTTCTGCAGCAAAGAACCGCTGCTTCCATTCTGTAGTAACAAATGCCCCCATGTATTTTGTTACTGGTGCGTTGCCTCTCATCCGGATTATCGTCCGGGTTCCTGGGGGTACCTCGACGGTGACGAAGAGCATCAGTTGCACTGCCCAAAATGTGGAGTGGTCATCCGCCGCATTGTTTGGCGCCTTTAAAGGGAGCCGTTTGCAGGGGCAAGTTTCCCCCTATACATTTATTTCGCTGCTCCTGCAGCTGCATCGGATGCAGCAGCGTAGCGAGGGAACATTCGGTGGTTGGCGCTGTACACAGTGGTGTTTTAGGGTGCGTAGAGGGCCTTTGGGGCCTCGTTTCACGGAAGTTTGCTGCCACCTCTATCCAGCAGTATCTGTCGCTTGCTAACACAGCAGCAACAAAGGACACAGTTTAAAAATCTCTTGGGTTTCTATAAAGGGACGGTTGGCTGCCACAATCCGCTTGAAGAGAGACAAGTCGCCTTGCATGGGTGGCCAGCAGAGACTCCTAAAGCTAGCCAATACTTAAGGCCTTATCAGTTAGCAGAAAGGCAACGAAGAAGCTTAGCAGCCCTTCTTGAAGGGCTATTTTGCCGCCGAAGCTACCTCAAAAATACTCTTTATGACATGTCTATATTTTTTGCGCTTCTTGAGCATTATTGGTACTGTGTTGCTTTTTGGTGCTGCATGGCGGAAAGCGGAGACCACACCAAGTAAAGATCTTTCTGCACAACGTCAGACAAGCACAGCGCAGAAAGTCTCGACTGAAATGCCCTTGGTACTAAGTTTAACAGACAGATTGCAAGTGAACGCGTTGTGGTGTTTTTGCCACTGTTGCTCGTCTGCATTTTTTGATGATGTGGTATATGAAGTGCTGCTGCTAATTGGCTTTCGAGACACCTTTCTCCTAAACACCCCGTGGCAATAAAAAAGCCTTTTATACCTGGTCTGTCAATCCGCTGCTGCTGCAATCGGACTGAAGTGAAGACCGGAGAGAGGGGGGCATCAAATAGTGCGCCGGCGCCTTAGACATGGCATAGGGCTCCGCAGATTGTTTTTCAGAAGTCAGCGAGCTTTGTTTTGGGCTGCCTGAGGACCCCCAAGACACTCTATTGAGCGGGTCTGGACCTTTCACGCTGCTGCCGCTAGATGTCGCGTTAAGCGTCCGTAGGGGAATTCCCTGCGGATCCTGCCTCTCCCCGGAACCACGGTTTTGCTGAGAATAGCCCTGCTGGAGAACACAGAGCCAAAAAGAAAGGAGCAACTTAACTATGCGCTAGCCCAAAGGAACACGGGGTGCACAATAGGGTACGCAGTGCAAGCATGGCTTGAGGATTTCTGTAAAACTGAACTACGATTTTAGCTATCTAAGCACGGAGCTGAAGCTCTCTCTGGTGTTGAGATTGAAGGAGCGGAAAAGCTGCTCGTGAAAGAGGGATCCACTGCCTGTGTGTGCGCTGCGTGCACTGTGGCAGTCCTTTGTTCAAATCTCCTGTCCCATGCCTCGCTTGCCCAACCAACCCGGCATGCTGCGCGCGACTTACATCCGCGCTACGCCGAGGGAAATGGAGGTTGGGAGGCAGTGTGTAAGCGCCTGCAACAGACGTGCTTCCCAGAGTAAGCTCCCCGTAGGCGTCTCCCAAAGCAGTGTCGGATGCCGTAGAGCGGGTTCGCCTGAACCTTTGGTATACAGGGCGGAAGCGCCGCCGCCCTGCGGTTCGCCCCAAAGATGAAATTGGGAACATTCCCATGGCGAAGGTGACCCTTTTCGAAAGCCGTTGCTCCACAAGGTCTTGAGCAGCCTGAAGCGGGCATTCGTACGCAACAAACAAGCGCTCGCACGAACAAATTTCCTGAATGTACGCTCAAGAGGGAATGCCTAGACAGCAGTGAAAATTTGGCAGCTGCTCTTTAGTTCCTTGGTATATCAAGCAACAGGAGTCATTCGGCAAGAGGGGGCAACCAGGGGCTGGACATCCCCAATTAAACTGCTTATTTTTATGCGAAAAATCAGCAAAATAGTCAGCACTCGAGTTGCCGCATTTGACTTTTCGTACCAGATCTGCCTCTTCGTCGTCGATCCCTGGGACCTGCTGGTCAACATACTTGCGTCTGAAGAGACACACAAAATAAATCGTGTTTTTGGAAAGAAACAAGACAGCCTGGGTGGCGACAAGGTTGCTGGCAGGCCAGTTTGGGAGAACAATTTTGTTTGTCTAGCTCACAAGTTCCTCATCTCTTCCACTGCTAGGAGAATAATGCACATCGCCGTGAGCCCGAATCCAAGCCCAAAGAGAATGAGGGCGCTTGCACTAAATCCCTGCACCTCGTGGAATTTTGCAAACCCTGAAACAATGGTATCCAGAAAGCTCATCTACAGTACAACACGGAACGTTGCATGTATAGACAAGGCATACGGAAAAATTACAAGACTGACAACGGCATACTAAGTAAGGCACACGGCTTACCACCAAGAGTTCCAAAGAAGGTCCATACGACGTAGTAAGTCGGAACGATAGTTGTCGCGTCTCCCCGGGCCAGTCCCAAGTTCAAAAAGTGAATCTTCAGGAAGCAAACGCAAACACTGCAGCTACTTAGGTAAGCAGTTTAGTGGTTGCAGTCTACCCCACAGAAATTCCCACAACAGATATGTAATCTACGAATTAGCTAAGGAGATCTGGGCACTTTCATACCTGCATCCAAACGGAAAGGCCCAGGAAACAGCAGACCAAGTACGGCTGCGGGGAAAACCAAATGGAGCTCTGGGTGAGGCCATACTGCGCAGTGGAAACGCATGACACAACAAGTTCGTTCCTCGGAGCTGCAGCCATTGCCATCACTTTGAATTGAAAAGTATGCAGCAGGTTATAAGATGGGCTTTTAGTCTATGAGACGGTGAAGCGACTTACACGCACGCAAGTACCGATCTCCTTTACTTCTAAAATACACTGAGATCCGACCAGGCCAGCGAGAAAACCATAGCATAGACCTGTAAAACAACGAACAACTCGAGATGCCTGCCGTAACTCGTTTTCCGCCTAAGCCTGCAGCAGTCGGCAGTCGTTTAGAGATTAATTGGTGTGCTGATTTCGTAAAATCAGAGGAGAGGCATACCGACTAAACGAGGGTAGAGAGATTGCTTGGTCTGGCTTCTGGGGCTCAGCATGGTTGAGGGTCCCGCGTCCTTTTGCGCGTAGTCTCTGTAGAACACCAAGCCCTAATGAATGTCAGACGCTAGTACACTCGATTCGTCAAAGCAACAGGAGAGGAAGCAGCGTCAAGGGGCTTACTGTTCGGAGGGACCACGGGGAGGGAGCAATGCGATGTCTCTGTCAGTCTGTCTGAGCAGCTGCTGTTCCTTCTCTTCCAGCAGCGCGGATTCAACGCTGTTTAGGTAAACGAGAGCTCCAAATCCGAGACCACAGCAGAGCCCCAGGAATGCCAAATACCAAGGGTCGTGCCAGCTGTACAGCCCCACGTACCGGCTGTCTAGATCTGACCCCAAATCGACAAACTCCGTGCGAGGCAGCACAGAGGCGCATGCACATAGGAAGACACCGAAGGCACACCCTCCAGTGAACAATAGCTCTTGGAATCCAAAGGGCTCCTTCAACACTGTCTGCAGGCATACGCACAAGCGCAACAGGCAAGATATGTGCAGACAATGCTTGTTAACGCATAGCTCATGAAGGCTTGAAGCTGAGGCAGTCATATACAGACGAATAACGCTAGGGAGCAGGCACCGAAAAAACCATCATAGAGTATACTTTCCCGTGGAGAGATAGCACGCTAGCTCACTGGGTACCTGTGCAGCAAGCTAGGTAGCTGTCTGCTGACTTACAGCTGAGGCCACCGCGTTGGCTATGAGGCCAATGGAGTTCATGGGCGACAAGACACTTGCGGGAGCAAAACCCAAGGCGACGACGTGCATGCAAGCACCGAGCACATACGCTAAATGCACAAACATGCACAACGGCAGCTACATGCAGCTTTTTATAAAACTGCGACGTGCATGCAGCTGGGGCCGTAGCAGCTGCAGCTGTTGCCGTTGGGATTTTACTTGCTAAAGCTACCATGGACTCGATGTGCAGACACCGTGGTGGCGGCTCGAAAACAACCTTTCCCAGCGTAAAAATAATAGCAAGAGCGAAGGGCAACATAGAAACGAAAAAAGAGCAGGAGCCTCACCAGCAAAACCCCAAACCCACTGCTGGTCGCAGGACTGTCCGCTGAGAGCGTCCGCATCTTCTACGCTGAGGCCCAACTTCATCAAAGTGCTGCCCCCAGCCATAAGAAGTGAGCCAGATAGAGTGAGGAAGACCCCGAGGTAGAGGCTGAGCTGCGGGCTTAGTCGCAAGGAGGACTCGACTTCGGCAGCCCAAGCGGCAACGGTGTTCAGGCGACGTGGGGGAGCTTCCCGGCCGTCAAAAGGGTCCCTAGTGTGTCCCCAATTTTGGCTTGACACGTATTGATCCAGAATTGGCTCCTCAGAAGTTGGCGCTGTGGCTTCTGTTGCTAATGGGGAGCAAACGCTCAGCAGCAACAGAAGAAAAAGGGATCCCCAAAAGGTGCTGCCCTTGTGCCCAAGCCACCGGACAACGCCACCCTGGCTGGACGCAGGTGATGCGTTCGCTCTAGGGGCACTAGATTTATCTGCTTCATTTTGTCTCTGCTTGGTGCTAGTCTCGCTGCTGCAAACAGAGGGCCTCCTTGATGTCGAGGTTTTCCACTCGTGTAGTTCGATAGCTTCCGGCTCAGGCTTGCTGCTCCCTCTGCTGCTGCTGCTGCTGTTGTCGTTCGCGTTGCTGTGACCAAAGCTGCTGATGCTGCTGAAGCAGCGGGAGATGGTCTCGGGGCCCCATGAGGAGCGGCCCTGTAGATGAGTTGTCATGCTGAGCACATGAATGCAATAAGGCAGCCAAGCATGCCTTGCTTAGCTGTATTAAGTGTCAGCTGCCTGTTGTCGCCGTTGTTTTTGATGCTGTTGTGGCTTGTTTTGCTGCTACTTCACTGTAGCCGTGGTCGTCGGCCGCTCAACGGGCATGGGCCTCGGCCGGTGCCGGTTCATGCCCTTTTGTATCCTCGATCTAGTAGGCCTCTTAAAATTTACCAAGAAAGTAAGTGCATTCAGAGTTTAGCTGAGGAATTAATGAGTCTATGACCCTCTTTGGTCCTAGTCAATGGCGCCTCGGTGGTGACCGCCGCCAGGGATGGGACCTTAATGTCGTCCTGAGTTGCAGCTGCACGTGCTGCTGTCTTATGGATTCGCGCGATGACAAAAAACATTCAAAATATGCATGTAAATTGATAAGTATTTCTTATTATTTTCATGAGGGGCAGCAAACAGGGGAGCCCTGGACCTGCCGGCAGGCGCAACGACGACCGCAGCGGACAGCTGCCGACAGTCTCGCGGCACTGCCGTCCCTCAAAGAGATGTCTGGTGTGCAGGCAGCTGAAGGGACCAATATTTGAGTGAGAATTGCAGCTGCCTATAAATTGTTGCAAAATGGAGAGGCATTAAAGGCCGATTCTGCGAATGAGGACCTCAACTGCGTCATCGGCGTCCGTTGGCGTCTGAAACTGCACGACGTGCCACAGGCAAGACCCCAACCAACACCAGTGGTCACGTGTGATGGACGATATCTGCTCAGTAGTTTCTCCAAATCTTTTTCACAGTGAAGCAGACGTATCATATTTTCCCGTGCTTGGTCAGGCCGCTCACAAACCACCTGAGAGCCCGCCGCGGTTTTTGTGTGCAAGTAAAGAGCAAACACACCCTTTGGGCTGTCAAGGCTGACCTTACGAAATCGGTATAACCTTGTTGGGGGAGTCTCGTGGAACGTATTCTTGCTGTTGTGGCTGCGCGGCGAGCTCAGCTCAGTGAAAACAGTATGAAGGCATCCCGACTTTGTTCAGTGCCCACAATTTTATGTAGAGGCAAAAAGCGTAGTTCCTAGAGTGCACGTGTGAGCTACGTCGTGCCATAGAACCAAACCCAACCTACTTCTGCAAGACACTTTCTGCGAACTACCCCAGTAGGGCTCCAGCATTGCGCTATCACGTAATGCTGGGGGCCAAACCGAAGGAGACAGGTTCAGTAAATTGTTGCCACGATTTTGAAGACAATCTTTTCGTTTACGAGCAAAGGTCGGATGGTGAGGACTTTCTGGTGTCTTTAAAAGTATGCCCTGTCAGGGAACTGAGAGAAACATGTTTTCTTGTGATGCACGCACTGCCATGCTTTTCTATCCCCTTTGCCACTCGGTATTTTCCTACTTGGCTTAAGCTCGCTGTGCACGAGGCTGAAGGGGACAAAGGTGGCCCCTTGAGGTTTTGTTTCCCAGCTACCGCCTTGTTTTCAGTAAAAAGCTTTCTTTCTTGTATTCTATCCACAGCGAGCTGCTCAGCTGTTACTCACTTTTTATTGGAAGTTCTAGTAGCGTGAATATTAGCGACTCCGAAAGAACAGCAAAGATGAGTCCCACACAATTCTTAAGACGATCTCTCCGGATTTCTGGCAAAGCATATTATTCAATTGAGGAAAAGGGCAAGCTTGAACATGTGGGATTGAGTGTATCTAGCACATCTCCTTGATGAGCTTCATTAGGTGAGGGAGGTGTGGACTAACGAAGTTGTTGACGCTTCTTGACAAGCCACAGAACAGGGTTTCCCCGTTTAGTGCAAGTCAGCTTTACTACTCATAGAAGGAGACAGGCCGGTAATAAAATCCAAAGGGCTATTCTTGAAACGCAAGACTCTGAAGACTCTGAAGGGCCGATATACCCTCTGCACAGCCAGGATGAACTTTGTTTTCGGTTTAGCCGCATGCGCAGTTAGAATCTAAGGGAAATACAGCAGTGTTCAAAAGGCAGGATGCCTTGGCGAGAGGATTTCGCACCGAAAGCTTTTGCATCCAACGTGTTTCTATCTTTCTCTTCAGGGCGACCTCGTGAAGCGTATGTAGCTTGCATTGGGAGGGCACAGAGTTTGCATTAGAAGAATTGGCAGCAATTCGTTCGCGCAGCACATCTACCATATCGGGTTTGTTTGTTCCCGAAACTTCATTAGTCGTGACTCACTTACCACTGGAGTCACTCACCCCTTCAAACTCAGTAATGTGTTGTAAACACGTCCTTCTTGAAACATTCAAAATAATGTATTTCATCTTGTCTGCTCCAGCGGTGTAGGTGTGCTCCCTTTTGGAACCTTACTCCTACCTTGCTGTATCCAATCTAAGAACAGCGAGGCCAGTGCTCGGGCTGCACTTCATGTAGATTTTGAGTGGCCTATTCACTGTGCTAATGGGCACTTGTATGTCAGTGGCGTGTTCACTGTGCTGATCGGCGCTTTGTCCCGCATGGTGTCTTCGATTCTCATACGCAAATAAATCAATTCTTTTCCATATTGCGGTTGCCAAGTTCCCCGTGCCTTCCTGTAACTAAAAGACTTTCGTTACGTCCGAACGTTATTGTTGCTAAGAAGAAGTGTCGATTCCCGGAGTTTACTGCGTTTTCAGAAATCTTTTTGTGTGATTTCTTCACGTTTCCCGTAGTGGGATACAGACATTGCTTGCGCAAATTGTAGATACTCCTTGTATCGGCTTGGTTGTATATGGCGTAAAATGGTAAGCAATGCCACCTGTTTACTTGAGAACAACATGCAAAAGCACTCTTTGAGCAAACTAGAGTGGGCTTTTGGCCAACATGGTTTCTCACTGCTGTTGAACGCGTACATGGCTGAAGGCGCTGCCCAAAGTAAAGGCGACATCTAATATTTGTCCAGGGTAGAAAATGCGTCTACAGCTGCTTGAAATATTTGCGTTATTTCTACAGTTCTACCTCAAACGTGCCCCTCAACGAAAATGCCATATTTTGGACAAATTATAAAAGTCCCGCCAAAAAATACAAGCAGATGCACTGAACTGACGGAAGATAATGTAGAGGCGGCTCCCTGTGTTCGTCCGCTCTTGCCATGCTTGTGCTGTTGGGTTCCGTCATCCCTGCGGCTGGAAGGAATGGGCCCCGGGTAGGGTGACCACGCGGAAGCTGTTGCCTATTCAAAAAGCCAACGTTATAAGTGTGATGGCCGTCGGCAATCGAACAGTTTGCGACTGGTTTTGGGGCTCTAGCTGCAGTGAGGAGTTGCTTTCTCCGCAATCACAGGAGAGAAAACCAGGTCAGCTATGCGCTGATCTTTGAGAGGAAAACTAGAGCAAAGCGTGGACATCTTTCTTCTAGAAGAAGGCCCTCTTTGCGGGTAAGCATTAGTAGGTCACTGCCTCAAGCGCGACAGCGGAAGCTGTTCTACATACCTTTTGTAGAATATATGTTTCCGAACGGACTGTCTGGGTAGCATTCTCGGCAGGCAGAAAATTTGGGTTTAGTGTCATACTGTATTATATTAACCTCCTTGACTAGCAAAACACATCCACATGAATCATGAACAGCATGCTCCAATCACGCTTAGCAACCACGCAAGGTGCTTACACTGCTAACACAAACTGTGGATACATTTGTGTCCTGTCACCTCAGAAACAAAACCGAATTGCATTTAAGCCTTGATCAATGCAGAAAAGAGGAACTGAGGGGGAAAAATATAGTCTGCATTCAAGCAACCACGCACGTGAGATGCAACCGGTGTGGCGTCGTATTGCATTCCATCGGATGGACTTTTATTCTTACCGTTGTTCTTACGCAAAAGCAGGTTTTGACGACGCGTGGGTAAGGCCTAGCCAGTAGAAGATATGGAGGTATTGTGGGATGTCGGCTGTATGACGCCAGTCCTTTCAATGTAAAATATAAGTGCGTAGGGCTGCAGGCAGTTGGTGAACTCCTTTGGTGGTAGCAATACCACCAAAGGAGTTCACCAACTGCATTACACTACCATGAGGTGCATCTGCCGCACTTTTTAACCATTTACAGTAAGGACTCAGGCTGCGTACCAACTGACTGTATTTTCATGAGAAACGCCGGTGAGGCCATGCTAAGCGTATGATCCTGCTCCAAAGCCTTAATAAAGTACTAATGGACCCCAAGCTTTGGCTTTCTGCTTATCGATTACTAGCATGAGGATGATTATTCTTTACAGTTATTTTGGCATTTTTGCTTCACAGTGGTAGGTTACGTTATATCACCGTCGCGACGAGCATTCTCCATTTGGCCACTAACAAGGTCGCAGTCACTGAACGCTTGTGACAAGCACTGCAGATACTTGGGTGCTGCTCTGTGCCACTTATATTCCACTTCTGGGGGATGCATGGATGAGAAAAGCCAGCTCACGGGCTGCACGCCATTAGCAGTCCAGAGTACAAGTGTCCCCTCCGTTTTCTGGTTATTGTGTCCTAACTTTGAAGGCATTATCACAAATGATGATGAATGTAACATCTATTGAACGAATATATTTGGGCGTCTAAAATGCTGGGATATGTAGCAGTTCAAATTTACTCGGGCGAATCTCGTAATGTGAGCTGAACCCAAACCCCTTAACAATAACAGAGAAAACGCATACTTTCTGAGGACAGAGATAAGACCCTTGCAAGTGCAGCTTTAATTATATGTTTGGCGACAGATCATGTGGAAACGGAGTGTGTTCCACGCTTTGATACTTGTACATGACGTGCTTACCATTTGATGAATCACCAAATCAACAATTCCACTGCTCTTGTAGCGCTTGTAGAGTACAAACTAACGTAACGTCGACACTTGGCTCGGGCATAAGAAAGGACAACGTAAAAAATCACGAGAATGCATCCCTTGTGGCTGAGTTTAGTGTACCATTCGAAAGCCCCAGAAGCGACCGCTCCCACATTTCGATGGTTTATTGGCCCACAATGCCTAAAATGCGTGTCCTTCGCTCTCTATATTTAAATGCACTCATACTCTGGTGTGTGGA